TCGTATATATCTATGTTAAGTGATGCTCAGCTTTCATTCAAGGCTAGTTAAATCTAGAAAGTTGTAGAGTTCATCGATGTTCCCTACTGAAGTTTAATTTGTCTTAACAAGATTCGACTGAAAAAAAGGAAAGATCTTTGAGCTTATGTTTTTCAAGAAGCATTTTTTATCAATAGGAATTTCTCTTTGAACTTTACATGATTCATGACTGATATGTAAACTATAAATATATGATGCTGTTATGCTATTTTTCAACCCAAAGAAATGTAGCATATTTTAGTTTATGTAGCTCTTGTAGCAGAATATTAGGCTTCTTCTGTTAGAATTCAATAGTCCAGAAGTTCAACATATTACGCCGCTTGTTCATAAATATACTTTCGAAAACTTTTTTGTGATGTTGACTTCGAATAAGTTCATTAGTGTCTACCAGAGATGTCCACAAGACACTTTTCTCTATTCTGCTCTGCCTTTCAGGATAGAGCAGAATGTCTTGTAGGGAAAAAAGAACATTCTGAACACAGCATCTATATATAAGTTCAAGCGTTGATATTTTTTTCTTCAAACTAATTAAGTAAAACAAGAGACATGATTAACAACAAATGAGAATAAATTATGCATGAGAGAGAAAATTAGCTAAGAAAACATGTGTTTTTTATTTATTTTCTATTGTGTCCCCATTGATTGCATGAAGAAATTTTTTTTTCACGTTCTTTGCTTTCAAATTTTGTTTTTCTTTTAGTAAAATTCTTTGTAATAGGATGTGAGTGTCGTCGCTGGTCAGTATGAGCGGAATAGAGGTAGCGTTTATTCACGTCTATCTCATTTACAGTTCTCAATAGTTTTATCCGAATAAACTGATTGTTTGAAAAAATAATGAAAAATATATTTGATTCTATAGAAAATCGTGACAAAATATGATTAGTTGAGTCATTAGATTAGCAGCATCAGTAGACGATTCAGCAGTGAAAAGAGGAGAGAAGTCATCGATACTGACCCGTCACACTATGACAAGTAACGAAAACTCTGCAACCTTCATTTGTCGGTCAGGAAAAGTGTATTTTAAGAAATTGACAATTGATTATGAGGTTTGGTCAAAGATTTTTGAGATCGAGAAATCCGAAACCATGGTTAGCTTTCCGAACATTAAACTCAAAAATTTAAATAAATCACTCTTAGAGTCGGTGCTGATGCTGTATTTTAATTACGATAATTTATTTATGCCCACAAACTTAGCGTTGCATATTTTTCAAATTTTGTTAATGTACAACTCGTAATATAAGCTATACTTTTTCTAGAGGAAGCTTTTTCATTACATTTGTCATTTTTGTTGAATCCGTGACATGTCAAAGTTTCAATTGTAAAACAGGTACGAAAGTCCAACATTTGACGAAGTTTTCATCATGGTTAGAGAAACTCAACTTACATCATCGGTGCATATATCAATCTTATATTCAAGTTCGATTACTTGAAATATTGCAAAGACCAAGTGCAAAGAAAACATAATTTCGTTACGCTTGGGCAAGTCATTAATATTATATGCACACAGATATTGTAATGTAAGTGTTTGCGCAATTGATGACTTTGAAAATTTCATACTTTATAATATTTTTTTTTGTATTTTTAGGCAGTTATGTGCTTTCTTTTATTTTGGAATTCAGCAAATAAACTTTTCAATTAATCTACATTTCAATAATTATAATTTTGAAGTATAATAGGTTTTGACAATAAAATTTCATTGATTTTTCTTTAAAAAAATTAATTCCGAAAATGGTAAAACAATGCAAATATGTCAAACTATATCAATTGTCGATATTGATTTCTTCATATACTTCATTGACGTTTGTTTCGATTAATAATTCGAAAATTTTTGAAAATCTGTAAAAGTCAGATTTTTTCGTAAAATGGTGAAGATATAATATTCATGAAAATTCATGTTTTCGATAAAATGTCTTGCTTGAGTATTATTAAGTTGATTAAAGATTTGAGAATCAAAATAACGAATCCATTCTCTTTTTCTGAACGATTGTACATTGAAATATATCAAAATTTTATTTACTCGGAAAGCCAATATTAGTAAACATAGGACATGAGAAAGAAACATGTTACTCTTAACGGATGGCCAATTTGAAGAATTTCTTCTACGGTCTAAACTGACGAAACCAAGAATTAGTTCGATTGTCATTATTGTAGTATGTAGGAAGTTGCTTATTTTATAAGATTGAGATAATTTCTTCCAAAACGAACGAGTGAAATAATGAGGCGTTAGCTTCATATCCCGCGATATATTATCATGTTTATCTTTTACATATATTTTTTTTTTCTGTCTTTTCAAAGAAAGCTCTGAATAATCGAATAAGTATGCCACAACGAATTACACTAACTTGTATCGATGCTGTCTTATCTTTGAAAGCTAATTTTGACTTGAATCATCTAAAAGATCAAGACATTTAATAACTTCTGTTTAAACTTACAATTGAAAAACTATGTACTCTAAGAAACGATGATATTGATTATATTATGAACAGAGAATATCGTCAACTGTCGGATACCACTTGACTCCATATCATAAGGTGTGGATGTGAATCATATTTACACTCGCACCCCCCACAACAACGTGCTTTTTCATCAACTTAAGAAGAAATTCTGAGAAAAATGTAAAATGACGAATTTTGCTTTCATAAAATACCAAGTATTGACTGTTTATATTCTCTGTCTGATTGTGAGCCTCACATCAATAACACTGAGAGGGCTCAGCTTGACTAACCATGAACGAACTCAGTGCTAATTGGACATTAATTGGTGGTTAATGATAAGAGGTAAATTTCATATGCATTCTATCGAAGAACGTTTATTTCAAATCTAGATTATGTTGGTGTATATAAATATAGATGTCAGTCTTCGATATAATTTGATTCACAGCTTCCTCCGGCCACAGCACATAAACACTTTGGAGGTATAGAAGAGAGAAAAATGTCTGTGCTGCTGTGTCACTTGAAAAAGTAAAAAAAACAAAGCACGTGAGAAAGCGACTGAGAAACAACCAGTATTTATCTGATTCCTATGCAAAAAAATGAGGGCTAAACTAAGATGAAAATCGATTAAAAAATGATTAAAAATTGATTATAATGGTATGATTTTGATCTATTTTGAACCACTTTTTAACTGATTTTAATCAGAAATAACTGACAAAAGGTCGAAATTTGAAAATCCATTGAGCTTTTTTACATTTCTCATAAGAAAAACTGAATTAAAATTAATGCTTTTAGCAAAATTTTCAATCGATCGCAATTGAAATTAATCTTAATAATAAATGGAATTTTGAGTTTTTTGGTTATTTTAGATTGAAACCTGTTCAAAAGTGATTAAAAACCAATTAAAAGCATATAATTATAATAGACTTTCAGTAATTTTTTAATCAGTTTTCATCTGATTTTAACCCTAATTTTTTTGATGAGTTGTGAGAAAACTGCAAAATATGACGTTCGTGAACTAATGTCCGCGCCAGAATAAAAGAGGGGTGAGTGTAAGCTCAATAACTCGACAACCGCAATACCTAGCTACCTGCGGTTTTCACCAATCGAAAGAGAAGGAGCGGGCACGTCTTTTTCGTCGATAATGTATAAGACGAAATTCTTTTAAAACTAATGATATTTGAAAAACATGCAAAACAACTCATGAAAATGACCTGTCAGCTAGATGAAATTTTGATTTTGACCTTTGATTTAGATAGACGTACTTGAGATCTATAGTTCAAGATACAATGCAAATGAATGTCTTACTACATTCTAACGTTGAGCAAATGGAATCATGTACCTACATGCGCAAATAATAGGAAATTTTGCTGA